TGGGATATTCGAGGTGTCATATCTTTGCTCAACTCGTACGTCAAGTGGTTAGGTGAGTAGTCTGTAGGTTTTGAAGCAATTATTATGTCTATTGGAAAGGAAATATTTTGTGTTAGTGTAGTACATAGTTTAGAAACTCTGTTGGAAAAATCTGTTGAAATCTGTCTTTTCAACATTCTTTTATTTTGCTAAAAGGCAATTTTTTAAAACAATGTAGATGGAAATGGCAATAAATGTGTTATATTTATAATAACTCATTGTTGGACCAAAATTACAAACCACATACCAATGGTTTTTATAATAAATATACCAACCTTACTTAAATAAATACCATATGTATCAAAAAGTCTCCATTTATTCTTTTATTATTATTTTTACGAATTCGGATCAGGGAATATGACATGCCATGACATAATGGCTTCAATCACTTCAATCTTTCATCTGTTTCTTGGAAATTTTGACTTTGGAATTTCGGATTATGTAGCAATAATGACCAAAACCTACAAATCTCAACTTTTTCCTTAAGTTTTCATGCATAATACATTTTTTAAGGTAACTGTCAGTGACAGCATAGTGAATCCAATACCCGGCCCTGTAATGAATTCCCTGGTGTCCGAAACAAAAGTGGTTTGTAATGAATCTATCCCTAACCCTATCACGACTGTTCCAATTCCTGTTCCTCTAGATTCTGATGAAGCAAAGACTGTAACTATACTCAGCGGCACGATGGTGAAACCAAAAAAGACAAAAATCGAAAACAACATAACCCATGGAAACGAACAAATTGAAATTACAAATATAATTAGTACAAAGGAGATTAAAGACGGAAGTACAATGAACACCGACGCCAGTTTGAGTACTGAATCGAGTTTAAGTCCCTCTGAACCAATGGACTGTAATAGCACGCCGAACATATCACCAGCTCATGGTATTAAATGTACCAACGGTTCAAATGAGGATGTTGCTATGAGCGAAAACTCTGTAAGTTGAATAATTACCTTTCGAATTGAAAATTTTACTAGACATTTATTTTTGTAGACTTCTAGTGGAAGCATGCAAGTTGATACCAATCAAATGGTTGTTGAAAACAGTACGGATGGAGATAGGTGAGTGTTCAAAAAAGTTGAAAGCTTGACAACTTTATGTACCTAGTAGAAATTTATAGGAATATTTTTTTTGTTGAAAGAGGTTTAGCTATAGATCGAAGTTCTCAATTTTTTTGTATTTAGAACGACACCACTCGGGATGTTTCGAGTAGCTACTCATTGTTAACACTTTTATGGATTAAGACAAGGAATTCGGACCCAACTGGTTGACCTTTCTTGACTATATTTATGACCCCGGCCATTGTAAGTGATGATTTTTCGAGAGTTAGTTCGAACACATTTCTTAGCTGAGGATTCATTCTGTTCTGGGATTTCGGCCTAGAACTAAACCCGCTCTACAGTCTCCTCGATTATCGAGAAAAGCATTAGTTCCTCGAGGTTATCCTGTAATTTTCTTTTTCGTATTTTGTTTGTCGTTGTGTTTTGTTGTTAATGAATTTTGTTATTGATAAACGCTGTGTTAGTCTAAATAGAATAGAATAGAATAGAATTTATTGTTTCATTCAAATACATAGATATAATATATGAGCACAGAGAATATAGCGCACCAAAATTATAGTACGTTATGATATTTTGGAATAATGATATATGTGATATAGTTTAATTTACATATATAAATATGCTTTTTGTGTACAGTAAATACAACGCCCCACGATGTGTGTAATATTACAATCTGAGCAAACAAATATAACAAAACAATAATACAAATTACTACAGAGCAAGCTCGTGTGTAGCAAACAGTAATACCGTAATTTTAAATATGTCTCTAGTGCAACGTTTGTAAGTGTTATGTGTCGCGTAATACAGGACTATGAACTCAGACATAATTATTTGCAACAGAATTTAAGAAAAAAAATGAGTAAAAAAAGGCTGAAAAAAAAAAGTGTGGGGTAGAGATGTGTCGGTAGACAGTAGTTGAATATAAAGTGTGTGAGTTTGAAAATGTGAATACAACTTTTTATTGTATTGGATGATATAACAATTGCAACAACTGGTTGGAATTCTCAACGATCCACAGTGTTATTTTTGATTTGAAGGAATTGAGAAACTTAATATCCCTAATTGATTTATCTACAATATTGTACAATTTTTNACGAAGCCGATTAGTTTCTATGGTGAGTGGTCTTTCAGGTCGGATGGTCTGATATACGGATCTGCCGAACTCTAAGAACCTGATTCGGTCCCCAGCGGGGCAGGCACAAAGTATATGCTCTGCTGTTTCATCATTTTCCAAACAGAGGCGACACACACTGTCTTCCGACAGTCCAAGTCTCTGCATATGATGATTCAAATGACAGTGACCTGTAAGAAGGCCTGTTAGACATCGTAGTTTATCCTTATTGTAGTCCAACATCTGTTTGGTATCAAGCTTCGTAGGGTGAATAAACGCCTAGGAGTGAGCCAATCCTGGAAGATTCTGTCAGAAGTCCATAAATCTTCATGCCATCCAGGTGTTCAAAATTTGTTTGGCAAAGCCTAAAGCGATGCCAATGACAGGTTCTGGTTCGATGAAGCTGCTTGCAGCTGCAGACTACCTTTGCAAGGGAGTCAGCAGCTTCGTTCCCTTCCAGGCCAGTATGGCCAGGAATCCAGACCAGAGACAGTCTGTTAAGTCTTCCTATCGAGGAGAGTCGTTTTTTGCCAATTTGCTACCAATTTAGACGTTGCTCGGTAGGATCCAAGAGCTTCCAACACCGCTTGACTGTCCAAGAATATTTTTATTGACTTCTGTATGAGGTTGGATTCTTCCAATCTCTCCGCACACAATTCAATAGCGTAAATTTCCTCTTTAAATAGAGTCGCTTAGGTTCCTAGGCACGTTGATATCTCTGTCCTGGGTCTTCGACTGAAAACACCTGCACCAGAACCGGAAGGTGTTTTTGATCCATTTGTGAACCAACAACTATCTGCTATTAATATTTCCTTCACCCAGAGGATCCAGCCTCTCTCCAGAAAAATGTGGAGAGGAGGTAGATCTTGAAGGATCTCCATGGCCTCTGACGGTGTGGTACTGATGGCACCACTGATACCTAGACAAGCCTGTCTCTGTAAGCCAGAGAGCTTCGCTTGGGCCGTTTTTTGTAAAGCCTTCGGCCACCAGGCAATTGCAACATGAGTGATCATTGGTCTAACAATCATCACATCAATCCAGTGGATTTGTTTGGGACCTAAACCCCAAGTTTCACCACACATCCTTCTTCATGTCCATAGAGACAGTCTGGCTTTGTGTGAAACTTTTTTCAAGTGAGCGTTCCAGGTGAGTCTTTTATCAAGGATAATGCCAAGATATTTCAGCTCCATTCCAAATGGAATGACCCCACCATTGAAGGAAAGTTCTGTTTACCAGCATGGCATAGATTCAGCCAGTTATGGTCGATTCTATACCGTTCCTAGCCAGAGATAATCCAATAGATTTAGGTAGTGCATTGTCAAATGCTCCTTCAATATCAAGAAATACAGCAACCGCAATGTTGAATGTTATTGATAGAATGCTTTTCAAAAAAATTCAGTACAATGGATCATGCTCCATACTTGATCATATAATCTTCAATTAAAAAATTGTCGTGACCACACTTACCAAACTAGACAAAAATCAAATTTGTATACGAAAACAACTGCAACTAAAAGGAAATCTTGGCCAGAGAAATCACTATTACTTATGCCAAAGGGTATTCAACCATGTTCCTGAAAACTTGAAAAAAGAAATAATCATGGCGAATTCTATCAGTGTCATCAAAAAAAGGATAAAACAATATATATTCAGTTTGCAGAGAAATAATGTACATGATTTCCTGAATTGTAAAT